AAATGAAGCTCCTGGCTCTTGGGTTTGGCCTGGCCTAGCCCCAGCTCTTGTAGCCATTTGGGGACTGAACCAGCAAATGGAAGATTTCTCTCTCTCTCTCTCTCTGTGACTCTACCTTTCAAATAAATAAATAAATAGATAAATAAATAAATCCTAGAGGAAAAAAAGTTTACTGGAACCCAGATTAAAATACACAGGTAGTATTCCTTCAACAAACATACCCCGGACAATGGAACTATAAACACCACACATGTGAGCTTTTCTCTTCCCAGAACAGTGGTTGGATGGTGCATGGACATGGTAAAAACTACACTCATTTCTCTACTCTACTTTCACAAGATAGAACACTTCTGTGACCCCAGATGTGTGGTGGTTTCCCCAGCCCACATTCAGAAATTAATTCTGCAGCTGATTCTCCAGTGGGTACAGGCCAGGTGTCATCTAACTTGATTAAATGCTGACATTGTCTATCTGGGGATAGAATCAGACCACAAAGGCTGAGGGCCCAGTCCCACAGGACTGCCTGCCAATTCAGATGCCAGCTGCAAATTCAGGCCTCTGGAAGTTCTCATCAACTGCTTACAAACTGGTTGTTCTCACAACCTTCTCCTTGGCTTTGATTAATTTGCTGGAGTAGCTCAAAGAACTCATGGGAACTCTTTACTATGTTTACCCACTTATAACAAAGGATTTTACAAAGTCCACAGGTGAACAGCCAGAAGGAAGGTAGGCATGGATGGGTCAGAGCCTGTGGTGCAGGGGCATGGAACGTCTATTCCCTCTCTGCATGTGCACCCTCCAGAAACCTATCTGGAAGCTTCCCAAATTCAGTCCTTTGGGGTATTAATGGAGGCTTCATTACAGAGGCATGATTGATTAAGAGCAGCTTGACCTTCTGTCCTTCTCTCCTCTCCAACCACTGGGGTCTTAGGGGAGACCCTCAAAGTCCCAAACCTCTCTAATCCATGCCTTGGTCTTTGAGTGACCATTCCCCACCTTAAAGCAAGTTGGGGACTGGCCGGCGCCGCAGCTCACTAGGCAAATCCTCCGCCTGCATTGCCAGCACCCCAGGTTCTAGTTCTGGGTGGGGTGCCAGATTCTGTCCTGGTTGCCCCTCTTCCAGGCCAGCTCTCTGCCTTGGCCCGGGGAAGGCAGTGGAGGATGGCCCAAGTCCTTGGGCCCTGCACCCGCATGGGAGACCAGGAGGAAGCACCTGGCTTCAGATCGGCGCAGAGCGCCGGCCACAACACGCCAGCTGTGGAGGCCACTTGGAGGGTGAACTAATGGAAAAAAGACACCTTCTCTCTGTCTCTCTCTCTGTCACTGTGTAACTCTGCCTGTCAAAACAAAACAAAACAAAACAAACCAAAAGCTAGTTGGGGACTACCAGCTACCAGTCACCTTATTATTGGCATTCTTTTTATTTTATTTTATTTTATTTTATTTATTTATTTATTTATTTATTTATTTTGACATGCAGAGTGGACAGTGCGAGAGAGAGAGACAGAGAGAAAGGTCTTCCTTTACCGTTGGTTCATCCTCCAATGGCCGCTGCGGCTGGCGCACTGTGGCTGGCACACCGCGCTGATCCGAAGCCAGGAGCCAGGTGCTTCTCCTGGTCTCCCATGTGGGTGCAGGGCCCAAGCACTTGGGCCATCCTCCACTGCCCTCCTGGGCCACAGCAGAGAGCTGGCCTGGAAGAGGAGCGACTGGGACAGAATCCGGCGCCCCGACTGGGACTAGAACCCGGTGTACTGGCACCGCAGGTGGAGAATTAATCTATTGAGCCGCGGCGCCAGCCATTATTGGCATTCTTATCACTGTGGAGATTCTAGGAATTTTAAGAACTGTTGATCAGCAAATGGAGATGATCACCAAATATATATTTCACAATATCAAAGATGGCCAATGCTAAAATTTATTTCAGAGATTGTCCTTTTATAAAAACTGTCCAGACTAATAGAGTTCCATTTCTTCAGATTTTACGCTTAATATCTTTTTTTTTAATTAATTTATTTACTTGAAAGGCAGAGTTACAGAGAGGCAGTGAGAGAGAGAGAGAGAGAGAATCTTCTATCTGCAGGTTTACTTACCAAATGGCTGCAATGGCTAAAGCTGGGCTGATCTGAAGCCAGGAGCCAGGGGCTTCCTTCAGGTCTCCCACAAGGGTGCAGGGTCCTAAGGACTTGGACCATCTTCTGCTGCTTTCCCAGGTGCATTAGAACGGAGCTGGACTGGAAGTGGAGCAGCCAGGACTTGAACCGGCACCCATTGGCCTTATACTCTTCCTATCTCTAGCCATAGTTTGCTCTGATCCATGGTCATTCTATGCCTTTAAAGTAATGTTTGCCTATTTTCCCCTGTGACTTTGTATTTGGTAGTTTAACTCAAAGATAATCTTATTTCCTTAATTTTCCATTCTCAAAGGGTGTATTACTTGTAGACCTGTGTACAATAAATTTTTATATACTAAATGTGTTGATATGGGAAGGGAATAAGACAATTCGGATGGTCTTTGGTGAAGGAGTTAGGAACCAACACACCAGGCCTTCTGCAAGTGCTGGCTTGCTCTTCAGTTAGGGTCATACTCAGACAAAGTTCCCATGCTCAGAAATGAAAACGAGCCCCTACCACACGAGGTGGAAGATGCAGGACATGGCTCTCTCTTTTGAGGTATTTACAAAGCAGTAGACCCTTCCGTGCAGCCTTCTGGGTTGCCACCTTAACCTGCCCAGAGTTTCCATGATTGGAACCCAAATCCACACAGTCTGCTCAACATTCTGAGTTGTGAAGAACATGGCGGCCAGCGCCGCGGCTCACTAGGCTAATCCTCCGTCTGTGGCGCCGGCACACCGGGTTCTAGTCCTGGTTGGGGTGCCGGATTCTGTCCCGGTTGCTCCTCTTACTGTCCAGCTCTCTGCTGTGGCCCGGGAGTGCAGTGGAGGATGGCCCAAGTGCTTGGGCCTTGCACCCACATGGGAGACCAGGAGAAGCACCTGGCTCCTGCCTTCGGATCAGCGTGGTGCGCCGGATGCAGTGCGCCAGCCGCAGCGGCCACTGGGGGGTGAACCAACAGAAAGGAAGACCTTTCTCTCTGTCTCTCTCTCTCACTGTCCACTCTGCCTGTCAAAAAAAAAAAAAAAAAAAAAAAAAAAAAAAAAAAAAGAACATGCCAAAAGGCAAACAAAGCACACTCTATGGCACCAGCAAAGCAAAGCATGCCTTGAGCACACACACCTGCCAGTATGTGCACACACACACACACATTACTAGGAATAATTCAACATGTGAAGGTAAAAAAAGGCACTGAAACAGTTATAGAAAATTAACAAAACAAACAAATCACAGGACTTGCTGGATTCTAAAATCCATGTTTTCGTTTTTGAAAATTTTATTTGTGGATGCTTTAGTGTTTAGGATCTCTAAATTCCTAAGTTGGTGATATCAATTCTAGTATTTTTACAACTCTTTTATTTTTTACTTTTACAACTTTTAGCATTAAAACCACATGATGTTCATGCTCATCAGGCAATTATATCTCTATATTTCAAGTTTCAACACATCTCACCCATGGGATACATTCCTAGCTCCTTCTAAGAAGCCATGAAAAGCTTTTCACAGTTCACTTTCATCTGACACTAAAATAGCTGTAAAAGTTAATTATAGGCCGGCGCCGCGGCTCACTAGGCTAATCCTCCGCCTTGCAGCGCCGGCACACCGGGTTCTAGTCCCGGTCGGGGCGCCGGATTCTGTCCCGGTTGCCCCTCTTCCAGGCCAGCCCTCTGCTATGGCCAGGGAGTGCAGTGGAGGATGGCCCAGGTGCTTGGGCCCTGCACCCCATGGGAGACCAGGAAAAGCACCTGGCTCCTGGCTCCTGCCATCGGATCAGCGCGGTGCGCCGGCCGCAGCGCGCCGGCCGCGGCGGCCATTGGAGGGTGAACCAACGGCAAAGGAAGACCTTTCTCTCTGTCTCTCTCTCTCACTGTCCACTCTGCCTGTCAAAAAAAAAAAAAAAAGTTAATTATACTTAGGGTCAGGGTTTTGTGCCGAACACTCAATACCTGACCATTAATTATTATTTTCCAAGTATTGAAAGTATAGTATAAGATGTTAAGTACAGGTTGAAACCTGGTCCATGTCCCAAGGCTTACTACATAAATTACAAGACCAAATCAATTTAGACTACACACTAAGCAAGGCTAAACTTGAAAGACACAAAGTTCAAGGACTTTTCTGTAAATTTCTAAGAAGTTACTAAAATTCTCACAACAATTTGTTAGTTTGAGGGTAGAAATTTGTGCTTTTGTCTAAATCTCAGAATGCCATTGCTGTTGTTCTGGAAAGAATACTAGAATTCTAATACAATTTTAGTCACTTTGTTGTTGTCCCAAGAGTAAAATAAGAGAAAATCTCAATATAAAACTCTTTTGATACCAGATTCCTCATATGCATCAAAGTGAACGAAAATATATCAAACCATCTTAACAATATTCACAAAGATAGCACGATGCAAAGAGACTTTAAAAATAGACTTTGTTTTTTAGAGCAAGTTGGGCTTACATAAAAATTGGGTGGAAGATACAGAGATTTCCCACATGCTCCTTGCCTTCACCACATGCACAGCCTCTCCCATTATCAACATCCACCACTGGAGTGATGTACTCCTTAAAACCAACAAGGCTCCGTGGACTCAGCATTCTCATCCAAACTTCACAGTTTACAACAGTTGACGACAATCAGTCCCTAACTTCACTGTGCCTGATTCCATTCCTGTCCTTTGCTGCACTGGCACACTCGGATAACCTCTCATATGTAATTAACTTCTTTTTTGCTTAACCCCTTGGAGTTGATCCCTGTTATTTCCAATCAAGCATCTTAACTGTTACAAATAGCTGGCCACTCTGATACGCAATTGAAAGTTCGCACAATGAAGTACTTGCATAAATTATTGAAATGGGGATGGTTAATTCCTTTTGAAATATATGAAAAAAAAATCTTACCATTGTGAGTCTGTTTTGTTCCACAGATGTCACTGGAGAAGCTGTTTTCTGTAAGACTGATAAATACCTTTGCTCAGTGTAACTTTATTTTGAATGTATCAAAACATCAAATCTAAAATTGTAAAACATACAGATTTTTAGTATATTTTAAGAGTTTTACATGGTATATCATGCAATGAAAATAAAATCATCAGCTTTTGTTTGGACAGGTCAACAAAACCAATGGCCAGATAACTTCTACAAAGTGGTGGTATTAGCACTTACATCTAGAAAACAAACTATACAGAATTTGGAAAAGAGCCACCTGACTATTCTGGTCAGGTAGGAGAATTTGAGAAGCCACCTCAAGGACTCCAGTGAACTAACCTTGCTGGAAATGCAGGCAGCATTATCTTCCTTGTTAATACTTATTTTTTCAGCATCCAGTGACATTTATTGGGTATCTAATGCTTTCTTACTTACTGCTCTATCTGCCTGGGTGGTCAAGGTCTTGGCTTATAAAAGGTACACAATAAATAGTTTTAAATGAATATCAAAAGAATCAGTACACTTTTTTTTTTTTTTAACAGGCTGAGTGGACAGTGAGAGAGAGAGAGACAGAGAGAAAGGTCTTCCTTTGCCGTTGGTTCACCCTCCAATGGCCGCTGCGGCCGGCGTGCTGAGGCCAGCACACCGTGCTGATCTGAAGGCAGGAGCCAGATGCTTCTCCTGGTCTCCCATGGGGTGCAGGGCCCAGGCACTTGGGCCATCCTCCACTGCACTCCCGGGCCATAGCAGAGAGCTGGCCTGGAAGAGGGGCAATCAGGAAAGAATCTAGCGCCCCGACCGGGACTAGAACCCGGGGTGCCAGCGCCGCTAGGCGGAGGATTAGACTATTGAGCCGCAGCGCCAGCCACATGTTTTCTGATATGTAGAGAATAAAATCATCTGTCCAATTACTTTAGGACAATTCTATTTTGAATATATTAAGAAATCATATATGAAATGACAAGAGGGATAGCATAATATTTAAATGGACAGTGTCTTGATTTGTTCAGGCTGCTATAACAAATATTATACACTATGTAGCTTGTAAACTATTGAAATTTATTTTTCCCAGTTATGGAAGCTGAGGAGATCAAGATCAAGGTGCTTCTGGGAGACTATATGGAAATACCTCATATGATCTAGCTATACCACTCCAGGGAATTTACTCAAACCAAAAGAAACCAGCATGTGAAAGAGTTATCTACACCCCCATGTTCACTGCAGCTCAATTCACAATAGTTAAGATATGGAATCAGGCCAGCACCACGGCTCACTAAGCTAATCCTTCACCTTGCGGTGCCAAAACACCTGGTTCTAGTCCCGGTTGGGGCGCCGGATTCTGTCCCGCTTGCCCCTCTTCCAGGCCAGCTCTCTGCTGTGGCCAGGGAGAGCAGTGGAGGATGGCCCAAGTGCTTGGGCCCTGCACCCCATGGGAGACCAGGATAAGTGCCTGGCTCCTGCCATGGGATCAGCATGGTGCGCCGGCCACGGCGGCCATTGGAGGGTGAACCAACGGCAAAGGAAGACCTTTCTCTCTGTCTCTCTCTCTCACTGTCCACTCTGCCTGTCAAAAAATTAAAAAAAAGATATGGAATCAACCCAGATGTCCATTAACTGATAACTGATAAAGAAATTATGGTTTATATACACTATGGAATACTACTCAGCAGTAAAAAAAAATGAAATCCTGTCTTTTGCAATAAAATAGATGTAGCTGCAAACCTTTATATTTAGTAAATAAGCCAGTTCCCAAAAGACAGATATCATGATTTCCCTGATCTGGGGTAGATAACAGAGTACCTAAAATGTAATGTATTGGAGTGAAATGGACATTTTGAGATTCAGTGTTTGTTTACAGCCCTTGTCTACTGTTGAGGAACAGTGTCTTTTCTTCATACGGTTTGTTGAACTCTTTACTTAGTGTAGGGTTAGCCTTATGAGTATAAGGTAAACTGAAAGTAGATCTTTGTGAAAATTAAGAGTGGGAATAGGAGAGGGAGGAGAAAGAAGGGTTGGAGCATGGGTGGGAGGGAGGGTAGGGTGGGAAGTATCACTATGTTCCTAAATCTGGATATATGAAATACATGAAACTTGTATACCTTAAATAACATTTTAAAAAAAGTAAAAAGAAAAAAAATATCAAGGTGCTAGAAGATTCAGCTTTCTAGTTCACAGGTGGTACCTTCTAGCTGTGCCTTCCAATGGCTGAGGGCAAGATAGTTCTCTGGGGTCTTTTGTATAAGGGCACTAATCCCACTAGTGATTGGGTGACTTCATCATCTCCCAAAGGTCTCACCTCCTGATACCATCACCTAGGGGTTTAGGATGACCACATATGAATTTTTGAGGGGACACAATATTTAGATAAGAGAGAAAATGTGGATAATTTATTAGTTAATAATTAAGATTATTAATCATTTATTAAAATTGGTTTTGTTACTTTTATTACAAACCATCAGTGATGACCAAAGAAAAACAAGTTAATTGAAAAATCATTTTACCTAGTATAGTGATTAAACATTTTAAATGTCGATGAAACATGGTTTTGAGGCAGGTATAATAAAATTTGTACACACTTACACTGCTATGAAGACTACGATATTCCATTTGGGGCAGGTGCTTGGCCTAATGGTTCAGATGCTGGCTAGGGTACCCACATCCCACACTGGAGTGCCTGGGTTGGATACAAAATAGGAATAGCACAATATATAAATGGTCGGTATCTTAATCTGTTCAGGCTGTTACAACAAAATATGATAGACCATGTATCTTATAAACAATTGAAATGTATTTCTCACACTTCTGGAGGCTGGGGATTCCAAGATCAAGGTGCAGGCATCTGGACTAGTGGTTAAGATGCTGAGTAGATGCCCAGATTCCACATCCGAGTACCTGGGTTTGACTCGCTGCTCCACTCCTGACTGCAGCTCCCAGCTGATGCAGACCCCAACAAGCAGTTGCAAGGAATTTGTGAAAGCCCTGGCTTGAGTTCCCGGCTCCCAGCTTTGGCCTTCTGGCTGTTGCAGGCATTTGAGGAGAGCACAAGTAGACAGAAACTCTCTCTTTGTCTGTCTCTTGCCCTCTGCCTCTGAAATTAAAAACAATTTTTAACATTATTGTATTTTTTAGTAACTATCAATAATCATTATTATGCGATACTGTCCTGAAAATTAATCCGAAGGGAGAACACCAACAGAAGGGAAAACAAAATATATGAACATGTTTATTATGTATTATGTTTAGGTATTTAGAAATATTAATTTAATAATGAAAAGAGAGCTGCTAGGAACAGTAGTTGAGATGCCAGCTGGGGTGCCCACATCCCATTTCAGAGTGCCTAGGTTTGAGTCCTGGCATGCTTCTAATTCCAGCTTCCTGCTAAAGCACACCCTAGGAAGTAGCAGATGATGGTTCAGATACTTGGGTACCTGCCACCCACCTGAGAGACCTTGTTTGGGTTCCTGGCTCCCAGCTTTAGACTGGCCCAGCCTCAGCTGGCTGTAGGCAGGCATTTGGGGACTGAACTGCAAATGGGAGTTCTCTCTCTCTCTCTCTGTGTTTTAAATAAAATGAAAATAAATGATAAAAATATAAAAATGAAATTCTTATCAGTCACTAACAGGAGACTCATTAAATGAATTAGGGTACTCCAGTCAATAGACATATGAAGAACACAGAAAATATATTATTATGGAAAAATGCTTATGACATATGCTAAGTTTAAAAAGCTGAAAACAAAATTATATTACACTATGGTTACAGTCAAATAATAAATATCTCCGACGCAGTCCTGGAAAAAAAGTAAATGAAGTTTGATCATTGGAATGGTACTACAGCATTATTTAGAATCTAGATGTAAATTTCATTTATTTAGAATTAATGAAGGAAATTTGGGGGTTGTAAAAGGGGAAAAACACTTTTCTGAAGAAAACAAGTGAATTTTAGAAAAAAGAACATTGAAGATAAATAAGATTTGCTGGATATGGGTAGTGTGGTCAACAACTTTCTTTTTATTTTTTTTTTTTATTTTTTTGACAGGCAGAGTGGACAGTGAGAGAGAGAGAGACAGAGAGAAAGGTCTTCCTTTGCCGTTGGTTCACCCTCCAATGGCCGCCGCGGCTGGCGCGCTGCGGCCGGCACACCACGCTGATCCGATGGCAGGAGCCAGGAGCCAGGTGCTTTTCCTGGTCTCCCATGGGGTGCAGGGCCCAAGCACCTGGGCCATCCTCCACTGCACTCCCTGGCCACAGCAGAGAGCTGGCCTGGAAGAGGGGCAACCGGGACAGAATCCGGCGCCCCGACCGGGACTAGAACCCGGTGTGCCGGCGCCGCTAGGCGGAGGATTAGCCTAGTGAGCCGCGGCGCCGGCAACAACTTTCTTAAGTGCCAAATCTTTGCATACTTCAGAACATGGAATTGAAAATTCTTGGTATAATATGAAAAAGTTGAAACTTTTTTGAAACAAACTGAGGGATGGACAGATGTATGAAATTTACACAAGAAAGTTTTCATTAAACACTTCTTGATGAAAATGAGATAATAAACAAGCTGGAATGTGACTGAGTCTGGATTTTTAAAAAATGCCTTCTCCTACAAATAAGTAAACTCTAGGAAGGCTATTTCAAAGTGTGGTAGAAATTCTCTGCCTCAAAACGGACTTTCCACAGTATGACACAAAAGCAGCCAGGCATAAAGGGTACGTATGCCATGACTTTACTTACATAAAAATCTAGGAACTGGCAAATTTATGATGTATGCACTCTGCCACCTGCAAATTATCCCTCAATAAGGAAGAGAAAGTGGTCTGTAATCAGATAGGCTCATTCCACAGACCTGAAAATCACACGCAGACATTCAGCAGGCTTCATTTTCCTTACGCTGCCTGTTCAGAAAGTAATGAACCTTTTCTAAGTATTTTGAGTCATCGGACCTTACTGGATAACCTTGGGTCAACGTGCGTGGTCATGAATGGCAAGATGGTCATTTAATGAGTTATGAAGGCTCACATTGGTCAGACTGAATAGACACCTTGAAGGCTACTGCAGCTTATTCTCCATCAAAAGTGGGTCCTCTTTGCTAAGTTACTGAATTTTAAAGGCATCTAAGAAAAAGAGATCAGGAAGTCACACACTGGCCATGGGTATTGAGGCCAACACAGAGATTTCAGGGCCTTGTGTGCAGAGGGAGAAGCACAAACTCCAGGACCAGCAGAAAGGATGGAGTGTAAGGTAGAACCAACCTAATATTCGCATCTTCCTGTCTACCATAACTGTCCTTCCGAGATATATTATTTTGGGAATTCTTACTCTCACAGAGAAGAGAAGTTATTGACCACTGTGTATGAGCACAGCGAATCAAAGTACTGTAGAGTAGAAAGAGCACATTCTTTATGGTCATGGAAATTAGGAATCAAATTCCAGTTCTCCTACTTCCTAAATACAAGGGTACTTCAAAAAGTTTGTGAAAAATGTAATTAACAGACAAGTTTATTTGGGGGTATAAAAAATTTGAAATCCGTGCATTGCTTTTTCACAATACAGGTTTTCTATGACCTTTTGGAAGTACTCCTGCATGTGACTGTGGAAGAAATATTCAATTTTTCTAAATTTCAGTTTCTTCACCTGTTAAATGAGAGCAACACTGGATGCCATAAAGTGTTATCGCAAGGAATAGAGATGATGTGTACAGAAGCCAGTGCCTGGCACGCTCAGGAAGTGATGGTAATGGTGATGAGGCATCACCAGAACAGCTTTGTTCAAGTGACAGAGTCTTTCTGACATTCAGGTTTTTCCATTTAAAATTTCTTTATTTTTATTTTTATTTTTTTTTTTATTTTTATTTTTTGACAGGCAGAGTGGACAGTGAGAGAGAGAGACAGAGAGAGAAAGGTCTTCCTTTGCCGTTGGATCACCCTCCAATGGCCGCCGCTGCAGCCGGCGCACCGCGCTGATCCGATGGCAGGAGCCAGGTGCTTCTCCTGGTCTCCCATGGGGTGCAGGGCCCAAGCACCTGGGCCATCCTCCACTGCACTCCCTGGCCATAGCAGAGAGCTGGCCTGGAAGAGGGGCAACCGGGACAGAATCCGGCGCCCCAACCGGGACTAGAACCCGGTGTGCCGGCGCCGCAAGGTGGAGGATTAGCCTAGTGAGCCACGGCGCCGGCTCATTTAAAATTTCTACACAAAAAATACCAACCTGTCGAGCATGCCTTCTGAGGTTAAAATAATTAGCAAGCAATTTATTGTTGTTCTGTCTGGCCTTACTACCTGGTTCTACTGAATTAAGTGCTTTTAAACTAGGGGTACTAGAAAAGGAGGGGGGCACATGTATTTACATACCACAAAAGGAGAAAAACAGAGATGGTGAAAAGCACTGATTCTCCCCCAGCCCAAGACAGAAACCTCCCCTGACCAGGCCATAATCATTAAACAATGAAAATGTGGCCTTACATTGGCCTTTGGTTCACCCTCCTGGAGGGTTCTAACCCCAGCACCAGAGCAAGAGCAGTTCTTCCTTCCTTCTCTCTCCAGGGTGGGGGTGGGGGGTGGGGAGTAGAAGCAGTCCAGATGTTATCTTATTTAGGGATAAGAAAAAGGCAGTAAAAGAAGTAAGTATTTGGCCACCCTGGGCCAAGCAGTACAAAACTATCTGATCCATGATATATTTTAAAAGAAAACATTGTTGAGCCGGCGCCGTGGCTCACTAGGCTAATCCTCTGCCTTGCGGCGCTGGCACACCGGGTTCTAGTCCCAGTCAGGGCGCTGGATTCTGTCCCGGTTGCCCCTCTTCCAGGCCAGCTCTCTGCTGTGGCCAGGGAGTGCAGTGGAGGATGGCCCAAGTGCTTGGGCCCTGCACCCCATGGGAGACCGGGAGAAGCACCTGGCTCCTGCCATCGGATCAGCGCTGTGCGCCGGCCACAGCGCGCCGGCCACAGCGGCCATTGGCGGGTGAACCAATGGCAAAGGAAGACCTTTCTCTGTAAAAAAAAAAAAAAAAAAAGAAAGAAAGAAAGAAAGAAAAGAAAACATTGTTGCTATCTGAATCCAGAAAAGCATGTCCTGTGTTTCTCTGTTTAAAGGAGAAAAAGAAAGTCACAACAACTGGGCATGGGAAAATTCCCCAGACACAAGGCTAAAGCTTGCTTTTCCCTTACCTTCATGCCAGCCAAGGGCCATGACCACAAATAGGACTTTACCTAACGCCCAGGGTTGCTATGAGGATTAGATGAAATAACAAAGGTACCCTGTGGAGTGCAAAACACTGTATTTATATTAGTCAGGTTATTATAAGAAGGATTCTGGTATAATTCCAAGTTTGTCTGCAGACATTAACAATGAAAAACAAAACAAAACAAAAAGCCAGTTGGCCATATCTGTCAGACAGGAAGCCTGTCTGACTCTTGAATACAGACTGGATTCCCTTTGGCTGAGCTGCACCTGCCAGCCTGGAAGCCCCTGGCGCTTGGTTCATGAATGAACAGGTCCAGAGCTTCCTGCTCCCCCGCCCTCCAGTCTGGGCTTCGGCTCCACCCTGCAGTGCTGGCTCAGGGCCACGCCTGGGCTGATTTTGCCCTTCAGATTGCCTGGCACTGCATTTCTGGTACCATCGGGCCTTGAGCCAGAGTCTCAAGTCATGCACAACACAAGTGCCTTCCACACGAGGGCTAGGGATCTCCCTTCCTCTTTCACCTTAAATCCCTCCTATTCCTAGTTTGTCTCCATGTTTCTTTTAGTCCAAATTCCCAAATAGGATCTGTGACATTAAGAGAGAAGGGCCAAGGATCAAAGAACCAAATCTGTCCCATTAACTTGCTTGTGAATCAAGTCTCTACCACCTCTCAACTGCTAATTCCTCACTAACTCTTATTTCCAAAAGCTGGCATCTGGTAGGTTCTTAATACCTATTTACCAAATGAAAGCAAATATGCAGTTTTGAATTGACTAACACCTGTCACGTGAAGCCTGGGGCCTTTTCCTGGACCTTACCTTCCTCCAGGCCTGCTCTTCATTTGGGTTCCTAGGCTGACTTCCACTTTAGTTCTTCACACACACAAGACCACTGTCACTCATCTATTCTCTTCTATCTGCAT